TCAAGTGGTCTTTTTTCCTTTTTACTAAGTACTTTTTAGAATACAGGATAGGAAGGATGGTGTAGGTTTACGTTTATTAGATTGATACATAAATATTACCAACAAGAAAGTGTATGTTGGTGTGTGTCAAAAACAGCGTAAGGCTTAATGTCTTTTCCACAAAAACCAGGTGATGGGCCGGTCTCCAGTCAAAATGCCCGGGCTGAATTTTTGTCCCAGTCCAGCCCTGGTTGTTGGAGAAAGAAAGGGAATATTTACTATCATCTCACACTAAACACTATCAGGAACAATACTCTGCCCTGAAAATGCTTAATATGTAGCTTCAGATTAAAAATTATGTGGTACAAGACAAATATGATGTTGACTAGTGCGTGTCACGTGTGTGCGCTCGCGCGTACGTGTGTGCGCGCGTGTGTGTTAAGCCCCGGATCTTCTTCAGTCCTAAATCCGCCCCTGCACAGGGCGCTCCTCTACCATGTCTAGAGGAACATGGTCAGAGTTCCAGGGGAACTGGACGTAAGGACGGTCAGTCTTCAGGCCCATCAGCTCAGCAACCATCTGAGCAATTCCAGCATTCAGAGAGCCGTCAGAACCAAAGCCAGAGAAGGCACTACCACTAGGGAAGCTTGATCCAGGGCCGCTGCTAGTGTGACCGGATCCTGCAAAGCTGGCATCACTACCTGTAGAAGATCCAGATCCTGCACCATAAGGGACTTTCCTCGCAGGGAAACAAGAGCCAGTGCCAAAGAGCAGGAAGCAAATCCAGGAAATACTAATAGCCTGAAGCTTCATGTTGACTCTGAGCAAGAGGAGCTCCACAGACTGAAGAAGCGTTTAAATACTTCTAAACATTAATTCAGTGTGACACAGAGCTCAAACCTTTATCCTGTTGTTTTGAAAAAGCAGGAATGTGACCGAACCAGGAAGTAGAAAAAACAATCCTGACACACTTTGACTTTAAAGATGTGGACCACAAAACGCGCCAATGTGTCTTAGGTGATCCTGCTGTTGTATTGGCCTTGGAAGTCCTGCAGTGTAAGTACCCAGCCTGGCACTGTAACCACTGGACAACCAAGTCTGTTACAAAACAACAGTCGCCTAAGATACATATGTGGTGTACATAGCTGGTCATTGCATCTCTGTAGACAGGATTCATGGTTTGTACAGCATTGTTTTGTCCCCAATGCAGAAGTACTTTGTCAGAATATCCAGGTTTCAGAACCGAGACCAAACTAGGTTTAGGCGAGGAGCAATGCCCGGTGATGCAAGTGAGCTACGTTCTTCCATTTGCAGGAAAAATCTTTACGTATATATGTACACAGTACAGGCCAAACATTTGAACACGCCTTCTCATTCAATGTGTTTCCTGGTTGGGGGCTATCTCCAGCGGTCAATGGGCAATCAGGAGGGGTACACCCTGGACAGAGTGCCACTCCATCGCAGGGCAACACAGAGACACACAGGACAAGCAATCATGCACACACACACACACACCTAAGGACAGTTTAGACAGACCAATCAACCTAACAGTCATGTTTTTGGACTGTGGGAGGAAGCCGGAGTACCCGGAGAGAACCCACGCGTGCACAGGGAGAACATACAAACTCCATGCAGAAAGACCCCAGGACGGGAAGCGAACCCAGGACCTTCTTGCTGCAAGGCAACAGCTCTAACCACTGTGCCACTGTGCAACCCATCCGGATCTTCAATAGTTGATAAATTTGATTTCCATTGATAAGTTTTTAGTGTTATTTTGTTTTCAGCACCTTCAACCATGTAAAGACCAAAGCATTTAACAGGAATATTTCATTCCTTCAGATCTAGGATGTTTTATTTTAGTGTTCCTTTTATTTTTGAGCAGTGTATTAATAATAAAGTTTTGAGTAAACTGGGTTTTATTTGCGAAAAGACTTTTAAAAGTGAGAAAATATGGCCGCTGTGTTTAATTGCTGTGTAAATAAGAGCAATTCATGCCAACGTTGCGTGTCTAAATTAATCCGAATCATCTGTTTCACTGGGGATCATGTTGCTGCATGCAAGCACAATTCCTTCATCTTCTGTCATGATACTAAACCTGAGTGGAAAATACAGCTGGATCTGCCACGCAGCTTCAATTAAATTACCAATAGGGTAAGTGCAAGTGTAACTAAATATAGCAGTCTGAACGGGGTTTGACCCAGCAATGAATCCAGAGCTCCAAATTCAGCTGCATTCATAAATATGCCATGAAATCTGACTTTCGTGAGAACAAGAAATGTTAATCAAAAGTTTAGCCGGAGCTACGAATGCTTGTCAGGTTTCTGGGTGTGTTTAGTTTAAAGTGAAAGTGGTTGCCAGGTTTTGCGCGGCCTTTTTAAATGATGGGCTGCGTTGTGTTTTGTCCCAGCCCAGTGGGTTTTCGCTTCAGCGGCCACGAGCTGGGCTTATCTTGATGGATGGATTCATTATCACCTTCTAATTACAGGTGAATTTTCAGGTGTATTCATTACTTGAGTGGCCTCGGGCTGTGTGCATGTGTTCATCCCGGGGTTAGTGTTACACTAGCTAAACTGCAGGGGGTCAGCTGGTGTGTGTTGGTGGGGGCTCAGGGGTTCCTGTTTCAGCGCTGCAGCAGGCTTGTTACAATATTCATGAACTCTGTGGGGATCAATGTGCTGTATGCTCAGCCTGATTCTGCCTCTCAAATCACCTCTTTCATTCCATCGTACCGGGTCACGGGTGGCGGCGTGCCTGTGACGACCCTGGACTGTGAGGCTGATGGATGCTCTACTTAACTAACAGTCGTGGTGAAAAGTAAATGTTCATTTATACGAACAAATAAACCTGGGGCCTCATTTATAAAACCTACTTACACGCAAAAAGGTTCTGAAAGTTGCGAATGTCGCTTTCCACGCAACTTTTGTGATTTACAAAGAAAAACTTGTGGCAACTTTAAGTAAACTTTGAATCCCCCCCACACATATGAACAGAAATACAAAGAGAAACCTAAAAATTGTGGTTCACTCTTTTTAACAATACAAAATTACATCCAGGCCTGGAGGAGTTTTGCTGTGTGGTGGAGTTGCTAATGCTAACAGTTAGCTTATACTAGTTGAGATGTTCTCTGCTGTTTCCTAGACCCCAATCAGAAAATATAACTATGAATTGCATTTCTCGCAGAGATGCTGTTTGAATGCTGAATTCTGAAAATGATAGCTGAGCTCCTGGGAGTTGAAAGCCCCAAAGACGTTTCATTTGCGTTTATAGAGGCCCTTTTCAATTGTTAATTAACTGCATTCTTCCTCACCTTTAATGTTTTGATGGTAGGATGTCATTTCCTGTCATGTTCACAAATATTACTGCATATTGTACAGATTTAATTATTAGATTTTTATTGATAAAATAAAAGAATAAAACATATTACGTAATTTTCATGTTGCTTTACGGTTTCAAGTAGGTGCAGTTAATACTTTTTACAGAAGTTGAAAATTACTGCATCAGAAGAAAAATACATATGTTTTAGTCGATGAAAATAGGACTAAAATTATCTGGTCAACTTATCTGTGACTAAAATAAAAGTAGTTTTTTTTTAAAGACAGAAACTACAGTAAACTTGGTCAACATTAACACTAATCAATATACCTCAGACCTGGTCTAGAGCTAATTGATATAGACCTGATCGGAGCTGATCTAGAGCTAATCAATGTTTATGTTTATGCTTATGTATGTAGCAGACGCTTTTGTCCAAAGTGACTTACAAGTGATAATCGGCATGTTGCCCTTGAGGCTAACAACAACAATAACAACAACAACATTGACATCAATCATGGAGAGTAGGGAACAAGGAGAGGACAGTAGAGAGGGGGGACGGGTGCAGGGAAGGTGCTAGTTTAGAAGATGCTCTCTGAAGAGCAGGGTCCTCAAGAGTTTCTTGAAAATTGAAAAGGAAGCCCGTGTTCTGGTAGTGCTTGGAAGGTCATTCCACATTTGTGGAACGATGCATGAGAAGAGTCTGGATTGTCCTGTGTGGTGTGATAGTCCTGCTAGCCGACGATCCTGTGATGACCGGAGCGGCCGGGCCGAGACGTAAGCCTTTGCAAGAGGATTCAGGTAGATGGGAGCCGTACCATCTCGGACTTTGTATGCTAGTGTTAGCAATTTGAATTTGCTGCGTGCCGCTAGCTGTAGCCAGTGGAGCTCAATGAACAATCAATAGACATGATGAGACCATGAGACTGGATCTTAATCTTATTAAAAGACCTGATTGGTAAATACAGGCATAGGCAAAATTCAGTCAATGAAAGAAAATCCCACAAACGGTCACAGAAGTAACTCGTATGGCAAAAAATAAAAAATAAAAAAATCTTTAAAATTTAACCAACGTCAGACATTGCTTTTCAATCATGCTTCAAAGGAATTAGGTTTCTGAAAGACAATAAATAAATTATGATAAAAAATCAATATGATGATCAGTTTTTGGTGTGTTCTTGCTGTGTTTACTTTCAAATTCCATCTTTCAGTTCTGTTTAAAACACAGAAAAGGTTTAATTACCTGCAACGTTGCATCATCAGGCTGATCTTGCAGCTGCAAACGAAACGTTGCAGGTAATTAAACCTTTTCTGTGTTTTAAACAGAACTGAAACATGGAATGATGATCAGTTGTCATTAATTAAAAAACCCGAGAGATCTTTAAACCACATTAAATATGTTGTATATACCATGTTGTTTGTAGAATGTATCTTTGTGAGATGATTAGGATTTACTGATATTTATCTGATTTTGGTTTATTTCATTGGGACCATGGACGAACAGACCAAGAGGGAGAACTCAGAGAAGAGACGTGTGGACTAGGGCCCTGGAGAACTGTACTGTTCCATCCAGAGTGGGATGATGTCTCTTCAAATCAGACCAGGTTTTCCAACAATTATCTATAAAACCCACACCTTTTAGACCAGGGGTGTGCAATCCTGGTCCTCGAGGACCGCTATCCAGCAGGTTTTAGCTGTTTACCTGCCCCAACACACCTGATTCCTGGATGAATCACCTGTTCAGCAGCTCATCAGGCTCTGCAGCAGCTTGTTAATCACTAGTAGATTCAAACCAGGTGTGTTTAAGCAGAGAAACAAGTAAAACCTGCTGGACAGCAGCCCTCGAGGACTGGGATTGCCCACCCCTGTTTTAGACAAAGGTGTCATGAGATCAGCAAGGGGACCAGAGGAAAGTCTAGCAAAGTTACACATCCTCCATCTCAAGAGGGAAAATAAAGGTAAACTTGGAAAAATACTAACAAATTGTAGTTATAATGTTCACTAACACATCCTATATATCAAGTGATTTCCAGCTTTTATTGTATTTTTATTGTTTAATTTCCATTCTCATAACTACTGTTGGTTTTAATGAAAAATGAGCCTGAGATGGTTTTGAACCTCACTAACACTTTCCTGCTTTACAAAAACAAAATCGTGGGCTTTTATAAAAGAAATTTCTAGTAGTGGTTGTGTGTGTTTGAAGCTGTTTCCTGGACAGAGGAGCCCGGTCCCTCCTGCGCTTCTCCCCTCCGCCTCCTATCGCGCTGCGGAGCTGCATGATGTCAGTCCGCCGGGGTCATTTCAAGGTCAGCAGCCTCGGAGGGTTCACTCAAAGTTCACCGGCATACATTAGGCAATTCAATCTTTCATTCGCGCTGGAAAGAAAATAACTAGTTGGAAATGAGCTGCGCATGTGGACGCCGAACCCGTCCGGTACCGCCCGGTGTCGTTCTGGTTTGTGGATAAAATAAAGACCCAGCAGCTTGAGCGTGTTCCGCCACTTTCGAGGACCGGGACGGGCATCCGGGGAAGCACGTCGGAATCCCGGTGATCTCATGGAAGGGTCCGGTTCGGATGTCCGCCGTGGCGCGCGGACGCGATCCGGTCCGAGCGTCTAGCTGCGAGACATTTTGGACTGAAATAATTCATGATTCCGGTGCGGGACGAAGGAGGGGAAGAGGAGAGAAACGCGCCGTGCCTGGAGGAGGAGGAGGAGGAGGGAAAGGAGGAGGAGGGGGAGGAGGTGAAGGAGAAGAGTTTGATGGAGTTGCGTGCGCGGGTTCCGACGGGTTTTCTCCAAAACGCATGCGAGTAGCAGAGCGACGCTGTGATGTTTGACTGCGTGGACGTGCTGTCCGTGAGTCCGGGACAGATGCTGGACTTCTACACGTCCAGTCCGTCCTCCTGCATGCTGCAGGAGAAGGCTCTGAAAGCCTGCATCAGCGGACTGGCGCGCCGAGAGTGGCAGCACCGGCGGAGCGCGCACTGTAGGTCCACTGCTTGTGTTGTTGTTGTTGTTGTTTATGTTGTAGGGGGAGGGGGGTCACTCATTCTGATGATTCACAACATGTTGCTGTAAAGGCCGACATGTGCTTCATTTATGTTAAAGCTCAAAACGTGTTTATTATTATTATTATTATTATTATTATTATTATTATTATTGCCATTATTATTATTATTATTATTATTATTATTATTATTATTATTATTATTATTATTATTATTATTATTATTATTATTATTATTATTATTGTTAATAAACAGTAATATTTCTAGGAGGTGTTTAAAGGTTAAACCTGATCAGAACCCTCGTGCGTAAGCGCGCTTCAGGCCGACCAGATGGAGTTTGGTTCGTTCCGGATCAGTTGGAGTTGGTCGCCGGAATGCAGCGGCGGAGCACCACGGTCCTTCCTCCCGGGTCCGCAGGACGGGCAGCCGCTGTCTCCGCCACCCGCGCGCCCTGCGCGCTGACAGTGATTTAGATAAATGACCCCGCGGACTATTCAGCCAGATTAGTTGCCTGCTATCGGAACTGGGGTTGTCCAGAGGTGATGTATGGCCTGGGGTTGGGCCGGGACACCAAGTGAACCCGTCACAGCAGAGGTTTTATTTAAAAGTCATCATTTAGATCCAGATTTACCAAATAAACTCCACCAAAGGTCTGCGGTGAGTTTAGGTTTCTGAGGACCTTGGCTCTGAATGAGCGCAGGTTTCAGATCCACTTCTCCGTGGTGGTGGGCTGGTGTTAGCCGCTGCTGCTCTGTTCTGATTTATCCTCCTCTGATAAGCACAGACTGGTCTGTGACCTTTAACCTACCTCCAGCTGCTCTGCTGGAGGCTGCAGGTCAAGCTGTGAGCACGCTGACGATGTGATGTCTTATAGATGGATCAGAAGAGGTCATCAGTGTTTTCTTTACCAGATACGTTTATAATTAACCAAACTAATAATTAAGGCTGTGATTAGACCAAGAAAACAGACTTTCAACACGCCTTTAAAGCATTCAGGGCGAGGTGACATCACTTTACATTCAACTCATTCATCTGATCTCATTTGGATCTTTTTGATTTGAATGTTGGTAGAAACCAAACAATATTTTTGATATAAATTTTTTGTTTTAAAATGAAATCTTTAATAGAATTTTTTAAATGTTACATTCTACAACAAAACATTTGAAAATGAGTTTCTACATTTTCTGTCATTTTTTATTATTATTTATTTTCAGTAAGACTCACCAAAGACTTATCTGGACAAAAGATGACCTTTATTTCAAAGAGCAGTGAAATTATAACATTTAGTCACACGGTCTAATGTGTTAATGAAAGTGTAGCTACCTGAGGATAAATGTGTTCTCTAAATCACTTTTTACCTTTCGCGTCTGCGCTTCCTTAATGGAAACTTCATTTATAGATTTAGCTGTTAAAATGTCGAATTTTACCTCATAGTTTCATCAAATTTTCTATTTATTTGAATGGATTTAATTAGAAACTCAACTTCACTCCTGATGCACATCATGTAAAAAACTCACTGCTTTCTCGGAAATTGGTTATTCTACTTGGAAAAACCTGCGATTCAACAGCGCAAATACAAATGTTGTATTTGACCTTTTTGTTATGCTTGGGTGCTAAAATGTTCACTCTAAAAATCACCATACATCTTCTAATTGTTCTGTGTGAATTAGATAAAACATACGGAATCTTTAAATACCACTTTATTTTTATGAAAGTCTAATTAAATCGTATGCCAAAACACACCAAATGTTTTTATTAGACTGTGTGGCTCAAAAAATCAGCAGCAAAGTGTATCTGATTATGTTATTTTTTTAAGATACTTTCTCTGTGCCAAACACCCAATTGACTCCCATTTACGTCTCACTGCCGTTCCAGATGAAACCATGAATCCTGAGATGTTGTCATCTCAGCTGTGCCATCTCTAGCTCCACCTGATCTCAGGCCGACACGGAAGGTCTTTGGTGTTACCACGGCGTTCAGAAGGTGGAAAACGCGTCAATAGTTTAAAATCGTTGTAGGGGATATCCAACCATTAATATTATCAGCAGATATTAGCAATATCAGAATTTTTTTCATTTTGCACTGATAATTATATGAATGATAATCTGGCATACATGCGATGCTGGTTACCTAAAATGATTTAGCTTTTTTTTTTACGTGGGCAGGGCGACTGCATGTTAGTGTCAGATGTTAAGAGTTAGCTAAAATAAAAAGTACACGATGATGTGTTGGGGCTACTAATGCATATAAAATACACTTAAATGTGAGTTACTATAACTAAAACAAACTAGTGCAACATACTCTAAAATACTACTGCTTAAGTATCTACTACTCACGATTAAGAGTTCAGTAGGCAAATTTATAAGTACTTTTTACTACTTTGTCTTAGTTAAAGTAATTTGCAATTTAAGTTAATTTGACTTTGTATTAGTAATTCTAACACATAATTGCCTAGCACGTACTTTTAGTTTTAAGTGTAATCAGTTTGCATGCTTTTTTTCAAATAAGCGGAAATAATGAATTTTACAGTGCATATCAGATCTGACATCGAACATCCGTAGTTGTAGTCATAAAAAATCATGGTTTAAAAAACAAATTCAATACAAAGAGTTTTGTAAAATTATGCCATAAAATAAATACCAAAAAAATAATAAATGTGGGCGTGGCTTTAAAAAACTTTTCAAGCCCAAGGCTTTAAAACATAGAAACACAAATTGAACTATTTATTTTTGATCAGTTCCTGTGCCACATTTGTTCTTTAAGCCATTGAAGCCTTTATTCTGCTTCTTCTAGTGACATCTCTCCTTTAACGTGTAAACGGGAATACATGAAACCACAGCAATGGCTGACCACCACCTAGAGGTGAAGTTGTTCTTCAGTGAGACTCTGATTTACGAAAACCCATCAGGGTCACAGAAATGTTGGTTTATTCCTTCATTTACGGGGATGATGGAAACCTCCTGGGTGTTAATTAGCAGCGCTGACAACAAGCCCACCATTAACACACTTCCTCTTCCAGTTTAGATGGTGTTAATTAAAGATGATTAAGGACCTCTTTGCGTAGATGAAACAAGCTTTGTGGGCGGTGTTTGGTATCCTTAATGTGTAGAGAGAGAGAGATGTGTTATAGCTCATGATCTGCTTTAATTACACCAAAACAAACCTAAAGACAATGCTATCCGACCCGTCAGAACACAGAAGCCTTCAAAGATGGCGGGACGTGTATGGTGAAGCTGGTGTGTGTTATGGGATAATTGGGGCTTTTCTGTCTTCAAGGCTCTGATGTGGACATGAAAGGCCATTAGGACAGCTTGCACACCAAGCTAATTTAGTGGGCGTGTGAAATGGAAGATGGACGGGGGACATAAAGCTGAGCCACGACAGTGAAATGAAACAGGAGTGGTCTGGCGCTGGGCGTGTTTAATCAGCATGATTAGGACGGCGTTAAGGTCCCGACAGGGTCGCACTGATGCTGCGTACCGGCAGACTTTTATTAACTATCACATACCAGAACTCATCATCCTGGGGCTTCTCAGGACCAAGCTGCTGCTGCTTCTGACCTCAGATGTTTGAACAATATTTAATAATGAGAATAAATACATTAGATGACTTTAACGTATGATTTAGTATGCAGGAAGGAGTCTTTAGTTCTAATTTTACCTCCACCAACAAACGCAGATTTGCATCTGCTTAAAGTAAAATAAACATGTTTATCTCATGATTATATTATATCATATGATATGATGTGATATGATATGATATGATATGATATAATATATGATATGATATGATATAATATGATATGATATGATGTGATATAATATGATATGATATGATATGATATGATATAATATGATATGATATGATGTGATATGATATGATATAATATGATATGATATGATATAATATGATATGATGTGATATGACATAATATGATATGATATAATATGATACGATATAATATGATATAATATGATATGATATAATATGATATGATATGATATAATATGATATGATGTGATATGAAATAATATGATATGATATAATATGATACGATATAATATGATATAATATGATACGATATAATATGATATAATATGATATGATATGATATGATGTGATATGATATAAAATAATAGAATAGAATTTAAATAGGATTTTCACATTTAATTTTTTACTTATTAATGTCTTCTGATTGAACCTGGTTCAGGTTCGATTCTGACCCAGTAGAACTCTGGATCTCAGTGAGAGTCGTGTCCTCCACAGACGTCCTTTCTTGGGAACCACACACTCTAGTCTGTTGGCTCTCAGGCTGGACTTTGTGGTACCACTCGTCCTTTTTACTGAACACAGGAACCAGAACCTTCAGGTGTTGTTAGGTTCTGCTGCTTTTATGAGACGTTGCTCATCTGGCTGGGACATGTGTTGCAAATCAGGATACATATTAGAACTGACGCCTACATGCTAAAAAATTATAATTAACTGTTAGATTAAAATTTTTGAAGCTTCATTTTTACCATGAAAAATATCGGGAGTTCGGAAACCAGTCAAATATCTTAAACACCCATTAAAGAACTAAAGTTTTTTTATATTTATAGTTTATTTCATTCAAATATATAAAAAAGGAAAACACAAATCATGCCGATGTACACCACCAAGAGGAGCAGAAGGAAGAGAAACCTCTTATTAGGGAAAAAGATAAAAACAACAACATTACATCTTTGAAAGTTCGAAATGCTTCAGAGGAAGTTTGCACTGTTTCTAACGCAAATCCTTTAGGCCATTTAAAACTGAAGTTAGATGTAGAACTGTCACAGTAACTTGCCAAGTGCAAAACAAATTATTCAGTGTAAAAACAACAATGAATCAAACCTGACCCATTATCGGTGTAATTCACTGCTTCATATCTTCTAATAATGGAATATTTGATATTTTCTTGAAATTTTCCAATATTTTGACATTTTTTCATGACTTCACT